TTAAGACGGTCTTGAAATAAGAACTGACTATGAATACCGGCCTTACAGTCTACCTTATTTAGCATCTCTTTTCAATAGCGACTGCTCACACATCGATTCTTTGCATTGCATTATGAGTAATCGGGGGTGATTTAGGGCCAATTTCACCAAGTCCGGTTAGATTAACCGACGGTTAAAATTAGCAGTGTGGCCAACAGAATAGAGGTGAAGGAAAATCAAGCATTCATGTAATTTCAGTTGGAACCCTGCTAATTTTAACCGTCGGTTCATCTAACCGGACTTGGTGAAATTGGCCCTAAGCTTAGCTTACCGATATACCACAGTAAAAAGAATAAAAAGAATAAAAAGAATAAAAAGAATAAGAAACAGAAAATAGAGAATAGAGAACAGAGAACAACTGCAGTGGAAGTGATGCGCACACATATACATGATATTCCCTGTTTCTTAAGCCTGGTCTACAATGAATCGTTAGTCGTTAGTCGCAAGCAAATTGACCAACTACAGTCTATTATTCCAAGAATATTCTAGAAATAATCGACTGTGGTTGGTCAATTTGCTTGCGACTAAAGCCCGAATCACACTAGCGGCTTGCGGCTGCGATTGCGATTGCGTTTGTGATTGTGATTTGCTACGCTCCAATCATACTTGCGATTGGTGCTTTCCGATTGGCTGAAGCAATCGCAATCGCAGCCGCGAGCTGCTAGTGTAATTCGGGCTTAACGACTGACGACTCATTGTAGACCGGGCATTAGCCCCTGCGCACAATAGAGAAAATATTAGGAATAGGAATAAAATATTAAATATTAGGAGGAGCAATTTGGAATTATTTTAAGCCTACCTTTTCAGGGAGATATTTACATTTCCTGTCGAATCACCCTCTTTGTCAGAAGAGGGGTACTGTGATCGGTTTAACCGACAGAGTGTTTCGGTTGTCTCACCCGTTGTTTCATCGAAAAAATTTTGAATTAATTATTAGAATTTTGATAGATAATGGTTATCCTCTCAGATTCATTTTCGATGTCGTTCGTGAACGCCTGAAAACTCTTGTTCATAACAATTCTAATTTTGACAGCTCTTTTGCCTTTTTATTCGGAGTTTGATTTTAAGTTGTAAGAGCCTTACTTTTATATCTTTGGAATTATTTTACTTCAAACAAGGAAACGGAATATGAAGAACGGATTATGAATACCGGCCTTAGCCTCGGATGTTGAAAAGAGTGAAAGCGAAGATGCTGAGTGCAAAAAGTTCAAGCAACGCGAACAAACCTAATTTCATTTGCCAAAATCTAGTAAATCTGTTCACTTTTGTAATTTTCACTTTGTTTCAAAGATACACAATCGACTCCCAGCGGACACAATCGACTCCCAGGGGACACAATCGTTGAGTATCGTCAACACCTGACGTTGATGATTCTAGAAGTAAGAACCAATCACGTTCTATTGCTACTCAACAGTTGTCTCCTGAACGCACCTATTCTTTACTCCATAGACATAGTATATCTAGACCGAGTGTTGAGGAGTGGGAGCCGTGGTGCACGTAGAAAAGGACATACTCTGTTTCGTGCCCCTTGCGTTCTCTCTCGCTCGCACGTAGCATGACGAAAGAGAGCGCTATGCTCTATGCGAGAGAGAACACAAGGGGCACGAAACAGAGTATGTCCTTTTCTACGTGTATCTTTACCACCACTCCTTAAATAAAGGCAAACGCTCGGTCTAGATATACTATGTCTATGCTTTACTCTGAAGTTGACGGAAATCCGTTTACGAGAAAGAAGAAGAAGATAAAGATATGTGCATTCATATATTATAGGTTACTGTGAATATCATTGACAAGTTTTATTTATTAAAATTGTTATACATTCGCAAATCATGGCCGCGGATGATTCATGGAAAACGCCAAGCTTTCGACAGAGCGTAATCGCGAAAATGTAAGTTATTTTGCACTTTTTATACATTTTACAAGATGAAAACATTATGTATGTGAGGAACGAGAGGGATGTCATTATCGATTTAAAAAGTTCAAAGAGATCGATACCTTAAAATGTTTTTATATAAAAACACATTTTTTACATAAAAGTAAAAATAAATTTTACATAAATGTAAAACATTATATTAACTTTATATCATAGTTATAACAGATTTGTTTTTAACTGTCCTTTCTATTTTTTCCTTTATTTTTTCTATTGATTGTTGTCGTTTTCTTTCCTTTCGCCTTATAGCGTGTACTACTGCTAAAAGAAGCTATTTAATTTTTTGTTTGATATGTAATTCTAATTTTTTGTTTATTTAATTTTTTATTTCATATGTAATTCACTTTTTTGACAGAGATGAAGCTATACAGGTGTCTGGAATGCCTACTTCAAAAAATAGCATTGAAATGGAAAATCATGTCTTCCAAAAGGCAAAGTCTAAGGTTTGTCTAAAATCGCTACTTGAAAAATTTTGAGTATATAGTAATTCTATATAATTATATAATTTTTGTAAGCTATATTTTTTCTTAGCTTCAGCAATATTAATTTGAAATAGTTTGTGTTAATAAGACTGTTTTAGCAATCAACGTTTTAAAAGTCTGTTATTTACAATTAATATATTGTGCAATAGATAGTGTCACTATTTTGTATATTACTTTCCAGCAAATCTTCTAACATTGTCTTCTAATGTATTTCTTTTTTCTTGTAGGAGGAATACTTGGGCTTTGTTGCCAGATTAATTCTTCATGTCAGAGAAATGAGTAATGTTTCCTATATTATAATAATTTGTTATTTCATAATAATATATACAAGATTTATCATAAGAGTAATGAGACTGATTTTTGTAAGGTGTGATTTTTGTGTTAACATTGAATATTTAATATGTAAATTTCTTTGAGAGAGAGAGAGAGAGAGAAAGATTTGAAATCTATTGTCTTGAAGTCTTCGGACAATTTATGATCTATCCTGCTAGGTAATAATGAAGTAAAAATGCGTTTCTCAATTCTAATTAAAAAAATGTTTTGCTTCATTATTTATCAAATTATATTATACTGTTAATTGTGTGTTGTTAATATTTTTTCTATATATTAGTTTCACGTTGTTTGCAAAATCTTAAGATTTACATTTAATTACAGTATTATTGTCCAGTGTTGCTATATCACTATTAAAAAAGAAACAGTCATTATTTTTGCTATTTTATATATATTTATATAGTTAGTAAAATTTCATTCTTTCTATAGATTCTAAAAAAAACCCAACTGGTAACGCACCAGGTAATGCTGGCACTAACAATCAAGGCATGCCGGATCCAATTGGTGCTCTACAGACATTAGCGCGTCAAGGAACGGGAAATAATCAAATGATGGGTATGGGAGGTCCGGGTCCTAATCATCAGGGCATAATTTCGCAACCACCTGCAAACACTGCAACTAATCGTAAGTAATAAACATATTTAAAATTATAAAAGTGTGTCGGAATAATATATGATATAGAGCACATTAGATTTGTATAATTAATTGATATATTTTTGTTCTATTTTATCAAATAAAATATTGATTTTTTTTTATGTTTAGACAAAAAATAATTTATCTATTGATATTGTCGCGAAGACAATATAACATAATAGTTGATAGACGATTTACTATAAGCATAATAGATAAATAAATATAGTAATAAAATTTGTTTCGTAGCTCTCTCCACATGTTATAATATAGTAAATTATAATGTTTTAAAATTTCTTACATTATAATCACTCTATATAAGCACAGGGACTTTTACTTCAATAAATAAATACATTAACATTTGAGATAAATTTTTGATTGAAAAAGAATGAGTCTATCTGATTGAGGTGAGACGTAAGTTTTTATGTGCTTTGCCTATAGTAAATATTATGATGACCTTGACCTTGGACAGGTTGCAAGTAAGACGTATTTTGAAGCATCGCTAGTCGAGTATGAATATTTAAATATGGCAGACATTGAATATGTAGTTAAACAGCTATAAAATATCGAAGAAATATCGTGTTATCGTATTTAAAGAAGAAACGTATTATACAGACGTAACTTAAACAAATGGAGCGATTAGATAATATATATTACGCACAATACGCGAATAAACAATATGCGAGTGAACCTATTTACGATTCAGATAATGAACAAATAGATAATCGTGATGAATCTAGATACATGCAGTGGAGAAATAAGGAGGAAACATTATACGAAGATTGGTTAATACAGCGACATGACTTGCAAACAACATATCAAAAGAGAGTGAAAGATATACTAATACAATCGGGCAAAAATTTTGTAAAATATATATGCAAGTATAAAGGGAACAGCAAAGTACTTGGCACAGATATTTTTAAATTCAAGATAACAATCGTATATTGTAGTTCCCGACGTAAATGGTACATCAGTCCAGGCTACTCTTTTGTACCAGAAGTGATCGATCTCAAAGGCAAACTTAAATCTGGCGCGTATTATCCTATCTCTGAAAAAATATTGAATATAATTTACGAAATGAAACGATCGATAGATGCTTACATGAATCGCTTTGCCATTGTACATCAATTCGTGTATAATGCGAGAAAAATTTATAAAGATATGCAATTTTCCATTAATTCTAATTCCATTACAGAAATAGAATTAATATTTACAGAAAATGCGTGGCCAAACGGTCTACGAAAATTAAACATCAGAGACACAATTGTTGTAAAACTAACGTTAAATGAAGATATTCAAGTTTGCAGTGTCACCTACGAGTATAGACGCACTCAAGCATTGAAAGATATAAAAGAAGATAATGATAAATTAAAATTAAAATTGAAAAATTTTTACTATTTCCCCTTAGAGATGGCATTTAAAAGATTTATGGAGGAAGAAAATTTTTGTATAGAACAAGAAAATTCAAAGAGCAGAATTTAAAGAGAGGATTGTTATTATAGATGTGATCATGTGTTATTATATATATTATCATAGATGTAATCATGTGCATTTGTTTAAATTTATATAAAATTTTCCCTATATTCACATTATTACATTTCCTATATTTATATTACTAATAAATAGAATAAATTGATTTATATAATAAATTGATACAATTATTAAATACATCTTATATTTTCTGATTTATAGCACATTGTTTAGATTCTAAATTTTTTTTTTTTTTTTTTTTTCCAAATACAATATTAGTATACGGAGTGTAAAAAATCGATCAAAATTGGACTATACCAATCGATAGAAAATTGCGTGGGATGTGTTTTGGACCTATATATTTTTTTCATATTCCTAAAAATTTTTTTTTTTTTTCCCTAAGTCACGAGGGTGTACGGAGTGTAAAAAAGCGATCAAAATTGGACTATACAAATCGATATAGCACATTGTTTAGATTCTAAATTTTTTTTTTTTTTTGTATCACACATACAATATTAGTAAAATATATATTTAAGCCTTTGTTGAAATATACAAATACATGAATAGGTTGTGAGACATACGAAAATATGCCTTTAAATGATAAATAGTACTCGAAATCTTGTATATTTTCTCGTTAGTCTTGCAAAGTTTAAATCAACGACCTGGTCAACCAATGAATATGCCTGGCATGCAGAACAAAATGCCAGGTATGGGTATGATGTCATCGCAAACTGGTGGTCCAATGAGTCACATGGGTCCAATTCAAACCATGCAAAACAATCCTATGTTGACTCAAATGAACCAAATGGGACAAGGAAATATTCCTCAACAAATGAATCAAATAGTATCTGGACAGATGAGTCAACTATCCGCTGGACAGATGCAACAAAATATGCAGGTATACATATCCATATATAAACATCATTTACTTATTCTATCAAATCTAGTAATTATATCTATATATAAAAAGAAAGTGGTTAAAAGAAACATAAATATTTTATGCTTGTTTTTGTTATAGTCCCAAATGCAGAATCAGTTACCAGGTCAAATGAATAACCAAATTGCAGGTCCAATAGGCAATATACAAACGAGCATGCCGCAACAAATGAATCAAATCGGTCCTGGGCAATTGGGTCCTGGGCAAATGCAGCAGCAGTTGAATCATATTCAAAGAAAAGTACCTGGCACACATTTTTTTTTATTATTCTTATTGATATCTTCATTATCTTTATTAATGATAATTCTTTTACACTCTTCATTGATAATATCCTATTAAAATTATCGTTATTTCTATTTTTATCAGCCGAATGAAATGTTGAATACTGCATTCCCTGGTCCACGTAACGTTACACCTAATCAATTCTTAAGGCAAAGCCCATCTCCTTCGGCTCCAAGTCCAGCTGGTTTAGGAGCACCGTCAAGGTAACCTTGACATATTCAAATACAATTTTTAGCAAACATATAAGAACATATCTCATAATAAAATGACAAATATTTTCATAGTAATCAGATGGTAGCCTCGCCCGCTCTAGTACCATCACCAAGCCCTCAGCATGCCATCATGACAGGGCCATCGCGTTCTGTAAATTCCATAGGTAAATTCAAATAATTTAGGATTTATAAACATAAGAAAATATATATTGGAATGTAAAATCATAAAATATTAAATCAGGTATGGCACCATCTCCAAGCAGTTCGTTAAATACTCCTGGAGGTGTAGGTGCCACACCCAGTCCTCAGCAAGAAGATCAAGCTTACAGGGATAAAGTCAGACAGTTGAGCAAATATATAGAGCCATTACGAAGAATGATTGCCAAGATGAGCAGCGAAGGAAGTAAGAATATATACATGCATACACATGTTGAAAATTTTATCTGTGATAATAATTTTACTAACTCGTGTTATATTTGTAATTTTTTAATATATTTTAATTTTTATAGAGCGTTTCTTTTTATTTTTGAATAAAATTTTGTTGGATTTAAAAAAAATTTAGTTTCTCAGAATTATATATATATACACTTTTAACATTACAAATATCGACATATAAGATAATAGGATTATTTTCATGGATGAAATTTTCAACAAAGAAAGAAAATGATTAACATTTATTATGAATATTTTTAGTAATATGCCTTCTTTTTTTATATTTTTCTTTGACGATGTGTATATAAACAGTTAATATTTATATTTACATTGAGTCTACTCTTTGCTGCAGATGTCGATAAACTTAGCAAGATGAAGAAGCTTTTGGAGATTCTATCAAATCCGAGTAAACGTATGCCATTAGATACATTGTTGAAATGCGAAGTTGTTTTAGAAAAATTGGATTTTAAGAGAGGAGATGGTAGCGTAGGACCACCGGTAACAACATTGAAAGAACACCAAATCTTTAGTCCGCTATTAGAGGCTGTAAGCACACATCTTCAGAGTCCAGTAATCAATCACACATTGCAACGTACTTTTGGACCATGCCTAGATGCTTTATTTGGACCTGAGATAAAGTAAGTATATTATAGTTGTATGTGTACATACATGCATGGATGAGTGTATAAACATGCAGATATATGTGCTTTCTTGCATATGTTTACACCCCGATTTGTGTGTACGCAAATTATATTTTATTAATAATAAATTTATAATCTAAATGGAAATACACATTTCATTATATGTATGAAAATAGAAACTTACCACCACCATTGAAGAAGCAAAAGATAGAAGAGTCACCTAGTGAAATACCAGATGTATTACAAGGAGAGATAGCTAGATTGGACCAGCGATTTAAGGTATGCAACAACTTCTCCTCAAGTTTATTTTCGACAATCTATTATCTCAAACTATGCGTTACTTTTTACTAAAAGTTTGATATTTATGAAGAATATCCCTACTGTCTGCTGCACATTTTTTATTTGTAAATATAAATATCCTAATTTTTTATTAGATATGATTAGATATAGATATGATTCGCATGGATTCTGTTAAAATATTTTCTATATATGTGTATCAAATTATACACGTAGAATTTTATCCCGAAAATTATTATAAACGATAATTAAATAAAAAAGTTTATACAACATAATTATTACTAATAAAACAATTTTCTCATTTTAGGTTAGTCTAGATCCAGCGCAGCAAAATGGATCCAAATGCATACAATTGATATGTTGGCTCGACGATCGTCATCTTCCATGTGTACCACCGATCTCGGTTACAGTCCCAGCGGATTACCCTTCAACGCCACCTCGCTGTGTCATGGCACCGCATGAATATGAGGCAACGGCATTCTTATGTGCTGTACAAAAGGCTCTGAATGCCCGTGTTGCAAAACTACCACGTCGTTTTTCGCTCTCTCAGCTGTTGGACACGTGGGAGATGAGCGTGCGGCAAGCTAGCGCACCGAGGGAAACATCTATTACTGCCAGTACAATACTGATGGGTTTTTAGTATATCTGTATGTAAAGTTTCTCTTTATTTGTTGTACACTTTTTTCAGTTTTGTACGACTGTTCTAATTAATTATGGCAAATTGTTTTTTTATATTATCATGAACAATTTGATTCTGCAATACTTTTGGCAATTCTACAGTAAATTCTCTATAGAATTTATAGCCAATAAGTTATATAGAGGGGAGGGGAATGTAAAAAGCTTAAATGTTATATGATTTATATTTGTAACTTTGTGTAATAATAATAATAATAATCTATTATATTTTTTTTTTTAAATTTTATATCAAACCATTATCGGTATATACAAAGATAGAAATTAAAATCCTTATATTATACATTCTCTCTTTTTTTGTCCCCCTCTTCCATTCTACTTAATTATTGTTTATTTACATATACACTTATTGGTATATTCATTATTATAAAAATAATTTTCATATTAAATTTTAGATGCATGATATGCCTGATAAGCAAATCCATTTGATAATAAATTGTCAATTTCCTTAGATTGAAATTTTAGTTCAGATAAGATTTCTATAGTGTTTTCACCAGGTTGTGGGTTTCTACAAGTTCCTCTAGAAATGCCAGGTGTATGAGATAAGCGAGGGGCAGGATTTGGGATTATGTCATCTCCTACAATCGTGAACGTTTGTCTCTGCTTATTGTGATTGTATGATGCAGCATCTTTCAAGCTTAGCAATGGTGTAACGCATGCATCAGTGCCATCAAATATAGCGCACCATTCTGCCTGAGTCTTTTTTTTGAAAATTTCTGCGATTTTACGACGATTCTCTTCGAAACTTTCGAATTGCGGTATCTCTTCGCTCGAAAAACCAAGCTTCTCCACGAAAATTTCATAAAACTGTGGTTCAAGTGCTCCAATACACATATAAAGTTTATCTTTTGTCTCATATGTATTGTAGAAATGTGCACCTGTATCTAATCTGTGGGAAAAGATACTTTTAAGAATATCTTTTAAAAAATATAAAATCAAAAGCATATTTATATATTCTGAGAAGAAGCACTTACATATTTTTGCCACGTGGATTTCCCCATATACCAGACATCTTTTGGGTTCTGAATAACCAGGATCCTAAATATGCAGTTCCCTCTACCATTGATGCATCTATTACCTGCCCGATGTTACTGTTAGTTCGCTCGTACAGTGCCAAAACTATACCAAGAGCGCACATTAAACCACCACCACCAAAATCAGCAGCTAAATTAACGGGTGGTGTAGGTTCCTCATTATATCGACCAAATAAAGATAGCAGTCCTATTAACAATTTTTTATATCATTCTCACAAGATAAGTAACAGAGTCCTATTTGTAAAAAAATGTGTTATGATAAAAAATTAATAAGGTACAATGTTTAAATGAATATAAGCACAGTATATCTATACTATTTCATAAAAAACTATAATGAATTATATATGTATATATATATATATGTATATATATATATATATATATATATAACCAGATAAACCTAAATAATTAATATCATGACCAGCCATATCTGCACAAGAACCATCTTGACCATATCCAGTTAATCTAGCATATATCAGCTTTTTATTTGTTGCCATAAGTTCATTTGGTCCAATCTTCAATTTTTCCATGACACCTATATGACATATATTCTATATGTTTTTGTACAAATTAAAGATTTTGTTCTTTATCATCACACATTGATATAACTTGATTGTACACACATTTAAATTCAAAGTTAAAAATTATTTCAAACTAAAATTATTATAAATTATTTATTAACATAATAGATTTTATTTCAAAGATTAAAATTGTTAAATAATATAGATATATTCTCACATGCATGTACCTTTTCTATACGTATCAATAACAACGTCACTTTGGTCACTTAATCTTTTAAAAATATTGATCCCTATTTCAGATTTTAAATTTAATGCTATTGACCTTTTCCCATGGCCCAAATAATCTAACATTTGAGCTCCAATCTGTATAGTGACAAAAATTAAGATAAAATAATTGTAGGGTAAAAATTTTTTACAACATACAAATTTTTATACAAACTAATGGATTAAATAATATTAATTTATTGTTTTACATTCATTCGTGTTTTAATATAAACTACATATGTTGTATTTTAGTAGAATTCTAATAAAATCTGTTTCTTTTTAGTTACCCTGTCTACTCTGATAACAGATGCCCCAAAATCTGCTAAGACCATTCCACAAAAGGGTCCCGGAGCAAGCCCAGCTAATTCCAAGACTTTTATTTTCTTCAGAACCATATTGTTTCTGTATATATATCGATAAAATCTCAATTTTATAAGAAAACAATTAAAATAAATTCGTAAGATATTTATTGCTGGCGCAATGGAAGACTATTTTTCTTTTGATAAAATATATAAGTACATGATCACATTTGTCATTTTTTTACGCACCGGTTATTAGCAACATATCAGTTGTATAAGTGAGATTGCACTTCTGGCTGCGTTCCGTTTCATGCATGATGCGCATAATGCATAACTTATCCTTATCTAACATTCGGTGAATAACAAACATAAGTAATGCATCATGCGCAGTGTTGTTCTCGGGGACGCTTTCTCGCGCATGCGCAGCGCATTGGTAGAGAAATCCAGCGACGGCGTATGTAGTACATATTTGTGTACGTACATTACTTACAATAATATGTTTAATGCCAGAAATTTTTTAAACTAATTATAATCGTCTTTTATTAATCTTTTATTATTTATTTGTCCCTTTTTCTTATCAATTTGACACGTATCTTAAGGCCATGTTTAACGCGCATGCGCGAGAAAGCGTCTCCGAGAACAACACTGATCATGCGCATCATGCATGAAACGGAACGCAGCCTATGATAGCACAGTATATACAGTAGCGCAACTCTCCCGATTTTGTGTTGGCCAAAACGGAGTGCGCATGCGCGAAATAAGTAAGTTGGCCAGTAACGCCATCTAAATTTCTCTCTCACTTACTCTTTTTTTTCTACCCTTTCGTTCTCTTTCACACTATTTAAATACCCAATTAAATGCCTACTGCCTACCTTATTTGGCGGAATAGATGACATTAAATGTTATTTATTGTACGATCGCGCAATTTATCAGAGTTTTTGATACAAAGCGATTATGAAGCGATCACGAAGCGATTACAGATATTTAATATAATTATATTTGTAATTATAACTTTATATATATATGTTTTCTTGATACTGTCTTTATAATACATTTAACAATTTTCGAATAATATTTTATATTCCTTTTTTTTGCTCTCTCTATTAGTTCATGTAATATATTTTGCATATAGCATAATTATTTATGTAATATATTGTATATTAACATAATTATATTAATTTTTCATTATTTTATTTTTTTCATTTTTCAAATATATTATTAACAATTTATCTGTATATATTTTTTATTAAAATACATTATTTTGGATTATTATTTATTGCTACATATGTATTAATGAGTTAGAGAGAGAAAGAAAAACGAGAGTGAGCGAGAGAAAAGTTCAGATGGCGTTACCGACCAACTTACTTATTTCGCGCATGCGCACTTCGTTTTGGCCAACACTAACATCAAAGGTGCCGACAGGGAGTTGCGCTACTGTATATACTGTGATGATAGTCTCTCTCTCTTTCTCTCTCTCTCTCTATCTATCTATCTATCTATCTATCTCTATCTCATCTTTTATAGCGTTTTCGAATGTAGCAGGTTTAGGGCCAATTTCACCAAGTCCGGTTAGATTAACCGACGGTTAAAATTAGCAGGGTGGCCAACAGAAAATAGAGGTGAAGGAAAACCATATGCTTATGCGTGAAGATTTAGGCCGGTATTCATAGTCAGTTCTTATTTCAAGACCGTCTTAAGTAATGTCTTAAGATGCTAATACGGCTCTGTGATTGGTTTAGGACATCTTAAGATTGTGCTTAAGACGGTCTTAAATATAAGAACTGACTATGAATACCGGCCTAAGAATGATTAATGACGTCATTGCATCATCTCTGCCAATAAAAGACTTGAATTTATAGTAAAATATAGTGATTAATTGATCCGGGTTGGATTAACCCGTTCATTCGAAAACGCTATATGGCAAGTTTGAATTCCCGAACGTCAGATGACTCCGTATTTGGCGCCCTTTTTTTGACGTTGAGGAACATCTCAGTTTCTGATATGGCTGGCACTTGGCGTTCTTGGATGATATTATGCTTCATCTAGCATTTGATTGATTTGTTATTTATATTTTTAGAGAGCTTTTATGTGTGTGGGTTTTTTCTCTTTTCTATGTGATTTGGACTTCTTTAGCTCTCTGTCGTAATATAATACAGTTTTTATTATAACATTTTTAGAAAGAGAAAGAGAGAGAGAGAGAGAGAATCGTTAATGGATCATAGTGCGTTATCGAAAATACCAGTTAACAAAAGATTGATTTAAAGATCAGTGATATTTTTGTGTGATTTTAATTAATAACAGCTGACCGTTTCTTACATCTTTACTTGTTCATTGTACCATCATCTTTCATCGTACTTCTCAGGATAATGGCTAATCATGGTACGATATATTCGAAAGATAAATTTTTATTATATATACATACATACATGTACATATATGTATATTTTATATATATATATATATGAGAATTAATTTGTAATAATGTATATTTTTGTGGTGATTGGAGTTTTTTCTCTTTTTTAATACTATATATGTCATGTATTACTTTCTTTTACATTTATTGTATTATACATGAGTACATTAATAAATTATTTACAAAGGTATGATACATTTTGCCTTTTTTACCGGAAAAATACTATAGGAATTATATGCACGATGTAACAGAGAGAGAAATCTGCGCTACAAAATCAAATTCTAAAAGTATTAACTAAACAAAAAAATCTATTCACAGCAGGTGTCTTCCAAAAGAGTGTACATAAAACGGAATGAATACTACTGTGAGCGTTAGAAAAAAAGAACAATATTGATATAATACAATTTCAATGATAGTTTATCATTTAAGTTATATTTTTGAGAAGCGACAGATTCAATCGTAGCTTGTTAGAATGATATATCCGAGATTTGAATGAAATAGCATCTGTCCATACAACTGACATGCAGCATGTAGCACAGTTTAAATGACTTTTACAGGCATATGGATTGCGAAAACAATCTTCGCGTGAGAATTACATGCATATATTTTTTTTTTGTTTCTTAATATATTTCTAATCAATATCGCGCGTACTAGCATATATTCCAAGTACTGCCGCTACAGTCGATAACACACAACCACAACTTAAAATATATCCCAATTTGAAAGAAAAAAAAATTTGCTTTATCTTTCTAATTAACCCGATCGAGATAATTCGTTCGCGGAAAAAAAGAAGAAAACAAAATTGAATACAACATCGATAACATAAATTTGATATCTCTATAAAATAACATCGAAAGATAACAAAACTTCTCCTCGTTTCCGTATGTGGTCCCAGCGTAACGTACGAAATCATTCACTTCATAATAAGACAATTGATCAACTAAAAGTATTTAAAATTTATCGCTTAAACATCTAATTCAATGATTCTATCTACCTTCATTCGTCAATTTGTGATTGTTTATCATATATCAGCGAAAAATTACTTTGTACTATATCCCAGCGAGAACATAGAAACTGAAACTAATCGACAATTTACGCCCGTAAAATGTGTTTTATAATATTTCTTTTATTTCCGTATCAGAGCAAAAAAATTTTAAATATTCACTATATGCCTACAATTGCTGAAAATTAAAGTTTGCGATGAGATTAATTCTACAGACAATTTTAATTAACGCACAAACGCATATCACGACAAAACAAATGTATATTATATACATCTTCTCGTAAGAAATTAGGTTATATTTGATTTGATCCAATTATTTTAGAAGAAGACAAAAGTGAAGGTTCTGCCGAAATGGAGGTTGAAAACGAAAGAGAAGAATCTGAGGAGCCTGACAAGATATTAATTATAGATCCTAATAGCGAAGTTTGTGACTTTTACTATTTTATTTTTCTAATTATTAGTAGAATCTAATAAATTTTTTTTCAAGAAAATTCTCAAATATATTGTATTTATATGTGTGTTATGAACATTTTATTTTAACAAAAGATTATTCTTATCAATGTATTTTAGGAACTAGATTTCAACCATTCAAGATTAACCAAACTGGAAAATCTAGAGCCACTGACACAAATACGCAGATTATGTTTTACATGGAATCTTATAAAGAAAATAGAAAATCTTGATACGCTTACTACTTTGGTGGAATTAGAATTGAGAGATAATCAAATTATGAGCATAGAAAATTTAGATGCACTTGTGAATTTGGAGTATGTTGATTTTAATCTTGTAACATTGAATAATATATATATGTATATTTGTAATTATATATATATAAGCGTACACACTAAATTTTTAATAACTTGTCTGTACATATATATTTTTAGTAATATTATTTATATGGATTTTAGACTTTTGGATTTATCATTCAATCGCATTAAGAAGATAGAAGGATTAGATAATTTATTAAATCTACAAAAGCTGTTTTTATCATCCAATAAGATTTTACGTATTGAAAATGTTTCACACTTGGCAAATCTTACAACACTGGAATTAGGTGATAACAAAATACGTGAAATTGAGAATCTGGAGGGTCTTGAAAAGTTGACCAATTTGTATCTCGGTAAAAACAAAATTACCAAAATTCAAAATCTGAGAAGTTTGGAAAACCTCTTATTATTAAGTCTACAAAGTAATCGGATTACAAAGATTGAGAATATTGAGGAATTAAAAAAATTGGATCAATTATATTTATCTGAAAATGGTATAACATGTATAGAAGGTATAGAAAATTGTCCAGGATTAACAACATTGGATCTAGCTAATAATAAAATTAAAAAAATTCAAAATATGAATCATCTTAAAAATCTTGAAGAATTCTGGGTAAGTTATGGAAAAATATGTTATATTATTGTATATTACAATATGTATTATCACAATAAAAATTTATAACAATATCAAATATCTACAGATGAACAATAATGAAATTGAAGACTGGAGTACGTTGGATATTTTAAAAGCCAACAAAAAATTACAGACTGTGTATCTGGAACATAATCCTGTTGTAAAGGATCCAAATTATAGAAGAAAAATTATGTTAATTTTGCCATGGCTTGAACAGTTGGATGCAACCCTTTGTAAGAGAAAAACAGGCCAACAGTGGAGAGAATAACGATAAGTAAAATACAGCAGATGGAAATTTGATGGAATTCAAACCGCATTGTTGTTATCTTCTTTTATAATTCCCGATATACATCTTCGTAGAGATTTCGCCATTTAAGATTAATGATAATGCTTATATATTGAAAACATGCTCGGTGTTAGATTACTATGAAATTATGCAATACAGAATTTTTTTTTTCTATTTATATAGTTTACTTTTAAAATCTTTCTTCTTTATTGAAAGGAAATATGCAAAACTGCGATCTATGTGATCTATTCCACAAACATCCTAATATATATCTTTTTGCTTTTTTATATATACTTATATTACTACATATTATGCATTTTTGTTAAAATTTTATTTTGCATATATATTTATCATGATAAAAAATTAATATATATAGGTTTTTAAGTATAGTATTTCAGTTCTCTTCAGGATAATGTTTTAATTTTTTTAAACTTGATAATCGAATTTTTATGATCGTTATATTTTTAATAAGATATATTCATATTTTGTAGCAAAGTATAAGGCAGAGCTTTGTACGTGCCGCATTGTTAATCTATCTCTTGCGATAACGATTTGTTATAATGTATAATAATCATATCAAATATTCTAAGCTTATCCAAATAAATTATTATTAAATGTCTTAATTATGTATGTCGTTAAATTTGACTTGAAACCATCATTCGTGTGTTAAATAATGAAAGATTAATTATATCCTGAAAATTCCCTCGTAAAAATTGTTTTTTATTTCGTCATCGGTGCGACGCATTATTATTGGAGCACATTTTAGTCCGTATCAGACTACGCATTGAAAATTGAAGATTGAAAATTAAAGATTGGAATTTGACTAATCAGAACAAAAGGAACTAAAATTTCTTTATCCTTATTGGTCAAATTTCAATCTTGGATCTTGAATCTCAATCTTCAATACGTAGTTTGATACGAGCTTAAGCTTGTATCAGACTACGCATTGAAAATTGAAAATTAAAGATCGGAATTTGACCAATCAGAACAAAAGAGACTAAAATTTCTTTGTCCTGATTGGTCAAATTTCAATCTTGAATCTTGAATCTCAATCTTCAATGCGTAATCTGATATGGGCTTTAAGCTTGTTTCCTACGATGCAATTTTTCATGTTGGATAGCATGCGTGATTTGCTGCTGCTCTGCGCTCTATATTGCCTAAAGCTAAACTGGGCGCACTGCAAGGAATCAATTGTGTATCTTCGAAATAAAGTCCTAGGCCGGTATTCATAGTCCGTTCTTATATTTAAGATCGTTTTAAGATTCCATTTAACCAATGAAATGGCCGCATAGCTCCTTAAAACCGTATTTAAGATGATCTTAAATATAAGAACGGACTATGAATACCGGCCCTAGTTTACACCAATATATCTTAATACGTACTAAATACTATATTGTCCAATCATGGCCGTTTCATTCTTTAAAGAAATGATTATGATTGGTCAATGTAGTACTTAGTACGTATTAAAGTATATCGGTGTAAGTGCCGGTCTACAATAGGTGATTTAAGCCCTAAGCCTTAAGAAATTGACCAATCACAGTCAAGTATGAGGAGAATACTCAACTGTGATTAGTCAATTTCTTAAGGCTTAGGGCTTAAATCACTTATTGTAGACCGGCACTAAACTAGGCTAAAGTGAAAATTACAAAAGTGAACAGATTGACTAGATTTCGACAAATAAAAGGTTTGTTCGCGTTGCTTGAAATTCTTAAAAAGTTCTGCACTGAAAACGAGATATATATATTCGAATGTTGAAGAAAGTGAAAGCGAAGATACTGAGTGCAAAAAGTTCAAGCAACGCGAACAAACCTAAAATCGTAGATACTCTAGTAAATTTACTCACTTTTGTAATTTTCACATCGTTTTAAAATACATAATCAACCCCCAGGTTTTCGCTTCGCACGGAGCGAGGTGCAAAGCTAGCTTAGCGGATGGAACTGACGATAATTTGTGCGCTGCTCCTCAGAAAAAATTGTTAGAAAATGGACGCTGTGCGCAGGAAAAGCTTAGGAGCACTTTTTCTATTGTTAATTTTAGAAATGGAAAGAAAGCGTCATAAAACACAACAAAGAAGACTTTAAACGAAAAAATAGCACACAATGATAACTGCAAAAAAACAACAAAATCTTGTCAACTTTATCATGTGATCTAGTCGCTAATTCTCGTTGGTTGCTTACAGTGCCTAGCAGCAAAATACTAAAATAATAAATAAATAAACGAAAAAATAAAAAAAATATAAATAATTAAAAAATTAAAATTATATATAAATAATTTTTTTGCTAGATCTCCTCGTAAGTAAACTCGCACGAAAAATCGCATCGTGGGAAACGGGCTATATTTTCGTTTTCAATGCCGAGAGTGTAAAGCTGATATTGCATTTATACGATAAAATATTTATCGGACGTATAGATTGGCTATCGGATAGAGAATTCTTAGGCCGATATTACATTTGTCGTACGACAAACTTTTTAAGCGCATTAATTAGCTAATTTCTAGAGACTAATCTCGACGGAGACTCTAGAAATTCTTTTTTTGGTAGCCAATCAGTACGTCTGACAAACTCGTCGCCATAAATGTAATAATATAATAATGTGATATTTATGTGTGTGTAGTATTAAAAAAAAAAAAAACTTACCATCATTGAATTGATGCGTAATGTAGTTTGCCGTGTCTGTCTAATGGCCGCAATGTCGTTGTCAATCGCCATTGGTCGGACGAGCCTCGGATCGCGATACCGATTGACGGACGTCAGCCTCGGCCACGGCCTCGGTCTCGGCCTTGGCGGGGGTGTACCACGCATCGCGCATGAGTACGATTGACGTCACCGCGCCAGCGCTCGGGCTCGGCGTTCGGCCATTTTGTGCGAATGAGCGCTGCTCTCCACTCTTACGGGATATTTGTGTCGCGGGACTCTCTCTCGGGCCAGTGGCTGAGAAAGAAAAACCGAATGATTTAGTTTCGCATTAGGGGTGCTCGCTCGGCGACGGATTACATGCGATAGTGAAGGTGTGCAGGATTTATACCGTGCATTAATTTCCGTGCAGACCCGGAAACAGGTACGATGGAGGAGAAGGCGTCGCTCAAGGAACTCGACCAGTGGATAGAACAATTAAACGATTGCAAACAACTGACAGAGAGCCAAGTGAAAACCCTCTGCGATAAGGTACTCAATCGCTTCGCGGAATCGATCAATTTCACATGATCCCATTCGCGTTTCGCGTCGCATGATTAAATGATTCCATTTCGATTGCATCGCATGCTGTTCGAATAGGAACACTGTGCTACAGTACCGACGTCGGCTAGCGCGTGCACCGCCGTCAAACATAGTTCGTTGAAATGTCACGCGTATTTCATTAGAACACTCGCTTTCGTTTCACGAAAATTCAAGAATCAATAAATTCCTCCAAATAATATTTGGGATTTTCCAACGTCTTCGATTTTATATTCTCGACGATCGCAGTGACATCGATATCGAAATCTAAAAGTCGGCTAACTCTTGGGAGCAAAGAGATTTGCAGTCCTTAATCGATGACTTTATCACACACGACGCGCGCGCGCGTGCGTGCGTGTGTGTGTGTGTGTGTGTGTGTGTGTGTGTGTGTGTGTGTGTGTGTGTGTGTGTGTGTGTGTGTGTGTGTGTGTGTGTGTGTGTGTGTGTGTGTGTGTGAAATATAATATTTATATATGTCGTTTCAGACCTGTTAATGCAATTCTGCAACAAGTGTATATTCAGTGTTGTCGCAATTAATTTATACATCTCTTCTTAAGGTGTATATCATTTGACAATTTCTACAAAAGATGAACAATGTTACCATTTTTCCAGATTACAATAATATATAATATTACAATATCAGCGGTAGCATCTCTCATTCTTTCTTATCTCTCTATTGATATATGTAGGCAGTTGGTTGATGATGTATTTATTTGCTATGAATCAGTATCTAATGGACTGGGATATTTTTCCATTATGTTTAAACTAACATGGAGAAATAATAGTTGCTTGAAATTGAATAGGATATTAGCCAAAATTTTCCGGTATCCAAGCTCCAACTATGAAAAATCTTGATATATTTTATTAAAATTTTTGAAAAGTAATAACGTAATACAAATAATTTCTTGCATAAAGATTTATTTGAAGAATAATTTATTTGATTATTATGAGATTTATTTCAATTTCTAAATTCTAATGGTAAATAGATATTGATTATCATATTAAGATAATGAAACAAGTATTTTTGAATGGACTATATTTAGACCTTTGAAGATGATATTATAGCTGTAACGTACTTCTCATTAATGTATCGCTGCATTGCGTTCGTATATTATGCCAATTGGCCAAAACATCTAGTTTTCTAAATGCGTGCCAGTAATTGTATCTGTAACTGACAACTGAAATCCATTTAAAAGAAATTAAGTCTGAGCGTTACAAAGTATTTCTTAATGGGCAATAGGATAATATGATCTAAAATTTTTTATTGAGCTGGTATTTTATTCATTGCATTACTCCATTTTAAATGTTTACATATTATTTTATATCAGATATTTTCTGATCACAAAACATTAATACAAAAAATATTTAAATATTAAATATTAAATTATTATTTAAATATTACATTGTCTTATACTTGTAATCTGCTCCTTTCTTATTTGCAGTGCAATTTATCTTACTTTTTTCTGTTTTATAACAGTTGCAGAGACTCTCTCTCTCTTTCTCTTTCTCTTTTTTTCTCTCAGAACAGGAGAATGGGAGACAGTATTTTATTTCATAATATCTGAAATTTCCAGGCGAAAGAAATTTTAGCTAAGGAATCAAATGTACAAGAAGTAAAATGTCCTGTAACAGTATGTGGAGACGTACACGGACAGTTCCACGATTTGATGGAACTGTTCAGAATAGGTGGCAAATCACCTGATACAAATTATCTCTTCATGGGTGACTATGTTGATCGTGGCTATTATTCGGTCGAAACTGTCACTCTACTCGTAGCTCTTAAGGTATAGTATAATATATAAATAAATTACTGTGTTATAATTCAAGATCTATAATTTATAATCATAATTTGGAGTATATTTTTATATTTGTTAATTTATACATTCAGATGTTATTCTTTATAACATGTATTTTTTGGATTAATAAATATGTATCAAATTTATTACATATCTTTTCTCTCTTTGTTTTGTATACTTAAAGGTGCGATATCGAGAAAGAATAACTATTTTGCGGGGCAACCACGAGTCGAGACAAATCACACAAGTGTATGGATTTTATGATGAATGCCTACGTAAATATGGGAATGCCAATGTATGGAAGTTCTTTACAGACCTATTCGATTATTTACCGCTAACAGCGTTGGTCGATGGTCAAATATTTTGTTTGCATGGTGGTTTATCGCCGTCGATCGATACTTTAGATCACATACGTGCTCTAGATCGTCTTCAGGAAGTGCCACACGAAGTTAGTATCTGCTCTTGTTATTTTTGTAAATTCCATTACATGTAATAAGAAAATTTATCTTATCATCATAAATCGCGTCTGTTATCTAATAGGGTCCCATGTGTGATCTGTTATGGTCGGATCCAGATGATAGAGGAGGGTGGGGTATTTCACCACGTGGGGCAGGATATACTTTTGGTCAAGATATTTCTGAGACATTCAACCACTCCAATGGATTAACACTCGTGTCACGAGCTCATCAGTTGGTCATGGAGGGTTATAATTGGTACATACAAGCATCGATATTATTTACTTAGTTTTAAAATATTTAACAATTCTTTTCTACTATATGTGTGTATAGCTTAATACAGAATATTCTATAAACAGTTTACAATAAATGATATCATTTATAACATGTTATTGTTTCAGGTGTCATGACCGCAATGTTGTGACTATATTCTCTGCACCTAATTACTGTTATCGTTGCGGAAATCAAGCTGCTATCATGGAATTGGATGATGCTTTAAAATATTCATTGTAAGTATGATTTCAATACATTTATATATATTTAAATTGTGCATATTTATTTTCAAATTGCATTATTAAGATATATTACACACATATACATATTCATATTTCCCTCTTAAATAACTTTATACATATTAAATGTAAAACATAAATGTATGAAATATGTATGATCTAATATGATAATTTTAAATGTGCTATATTGCACTAAAAAAAAATTTATTATATGTAGTCAAAGATATTTTCAAATTACAAAAGTATAATAAAAGCACAATTAATTTTCTTTATTTTTATCACAGCCTACAGTTTGACCCAGCACCAAGACGTGGAGAACCACATGTTACCAGGCGAACGCCAGACTACTTCCTCTAAGAGGTTAGGCTTCAGGGCTAAGTGTCAAGGTAGGGGAATGGAAATCGCGCGATCCTGACTTTATAGTGACGCCAGATAACATAACTTATAATAGAACATCGCTAAATGAGTGTGAGGCTCAAACAAGTTCTCATATACCACATATAGCTCCAAGTATTATATCATGGCTCACTTTGTGGTGTCTCATTGAGAAATAGAATAGATTACACGCACGTTTTGTGCGTGCCTTACACAATACATGTAGACACAACATTACTTGTACACTAAAGAAGAAAAAAGAATACAATAATGTACACACGTATCGATTAAATCCACTTGTAGCATTGAGTTTTACAACTTTTATTATATCCGCTTGTATTTTTATTATAAAGAAACTGAATATGCACATACATTCGCGCGTAACAGGTAGAGCAAAAAATATTGGTGAAATGGTATTATTTTGTAATCTTGAATGAGAATATTGATAACTTTCATTGAGAATAATTGTACTTGTACACAAAACATCTCGTATATTCTAAACCAAGTTATTTGTCACATGCAAGATTCCAAAAAAATATACCAAGATGATCATAATTTATATTTAAGAGAGTGTCACATTTATTATTGGTGTGAATGAAGCATGAAATGTTCCACTTGAAAGAAAGGTGAGTTGATGCAATAGTAAATTAGTATGTTTATAAATTGTGCTGTATAAGAATTCAATAAATATAATTTCCACGTATAGAGATTATTAAAGAACCTTTAATAATAAAAGTTAATATTAAATTTTATTATTGTATTACACATGAATTCATCAGACAATAATTTTGTTAGAATTATAGTCACCTATTAATTTTATATGTGGTATTCATTATTTTTAAGCACAAAAAGTAAATATTTTTATCTAAATGATATAAAAATCTTTAAAATGTACGAATGTAAATCTTGTTTTTATTGAAGTCGCTTTTTATTAATTCTTAACATTATTTTTGCAGAATAATACAATTAAAGGGAAACTAATGAGATTTATATATCTATATTCGCACACTTGAAATATTGTTATTTTATTTAGAAAAAATAATTATATTTAATGGTATACAGCGAGAAATTTTAATTGGTCTCTGATTGATTTTTCTGTTAACTATATTTCTTTTTATATCATGAACATGATTTTTAATTTATGAACTGCTATTACAAAGAGTTGAGTTATGCATTATACTAGTTAATGAATGATAATTTAGAAACATAATGGAAAACTTTTGCATCAATTCTATCTGCCTCCTAAAGTGAAACATGTATTTTATACCGAGTGAATCTATGCATTCACATTGGTTAAACTAAAAGAAAAAAAATGCTTGTAAACCTACTGATGATCTTTTTATTAATTAATAGATATAAAATGATGCTTCTGGTAAATAAACATGTGTAATGCAAGCCAAAGCAATCCAATGCGTTGTGTCAAATTTCATATTCATTGAACGTGTGCAGGAGCATCGTGTATAATGAGCGGCTAAAAGAAAGATGAAAAGCGTACATACATACGGATGTATTTATAGGAATAAGCATCACAATTCGAATATAATGCATAATGAAGCAATCACAATAGCGACGACAATGGATGGCGAGACAAACTTGAAATGTGTAAGATGCACATTACATAGCAATTTATTAAGACTGTAAATCCATAGCACAGGACGCAGCGCGGAAATAAATTCGCGATCCTTCTTCTGCACAATGCAGGTTGAGCATTTTTTTCTTTTGTTTTTCGTTTTCTATTATACAACTATGCGTATACACATAATATATTCTCTGACTCTCGGACTCTACAATAATAAGAATAAATTTTCCTATAGAACAAAAATGCACTTGTAGTATTATAACGCGACGGAGTTTGATTAAAAGTACAGCAAAATAATAGGTACCAACCACCAGAACTGATTAATTTTATATTTGCTCTATTTATTGTCCTCTCTCACTGCATACTAACTTTCATGTAATGGACAAAATCAATATGGATTACTAAATGTTTTGTTGAAAATATGATTAGTATATTAATATCTATACATGAATATTGTTGTTGATTTGATTTCATAATGGTATGGGATATACTGAAAAGCTATTATACACTTATAAGAACTCTTTTTACAATTTTAAATATTTTTCATTGATATAAATTTTGAAAATATTCGTACTGTATAAAACAATTAATTAATACATATATAATAATAATAATAATAATAATAATCTTAGTCATTTGACAAATTAAAGTTTTATTTTAGATTTAACTCGATAGAAATTGATATCCTTAATTCAAATGTTACAATATATGGAACAAATTTTGTATATCTCAAATTAAAAATTTTTGTGATAGCTTTTATAATTTTTTAACTTATCTGAAATAATACTTATACAGATATAAATCGATTGTATATGATAAATATAAAATTGGCATAGAATTAAGCCTACAATATTCTTTTACTTGACACAAGTTTTATTTAAATACTTTAATATAATTTGCAAAGATCTGGTATCGGATAAGCCCAGATTTGTGAAAAGGAACAAAAAAATGCCATAAACGTATAATTATATAATGTCATCTTATTATAAGGAATTGCAGAAATAAAACGATATTATCATATGTAGACAGAGTTTTATTTGTTTTGTTGCTCTACATATTCATAATATTTTAGAAAAAAACGCATGTTTCATGTAAGATTCATCCATTTATGCATGTTTTTAATCATTTGAACTGCTACCTCTGTAAGTCACACACATACATACACATAATATTTTTTTTATTAGTTTATCTAATACTTGCATCTATTAATAATAAAACAAAATAAGTAATATGTATCAAAATAAAACATATTTCTATTACATGTACAAATAGATTTTGAAATAATACATACAAAAATATATCATATTTTTATTTCTCACACATATTTTCATTTCTCACAGGTATATAATTTTGTTGATCTATGTAAATAATAATTACATATTGAAGTGTAATAAGTTACTTAATTTAATTATTCTTCAATCTTGATTTTCAATATAGATTGTTATGTGGTTAAATATATCTATTTCTACAAAATATATTTATCATATTGTAAATATAATGAGCAAGTTGCTTAACTGCAGATGCATATAAAATATGTATCAATTAAAAAGTAAAATACTTGATTAAAATACTTACTCGTATTACATGATATTCACAGTCCAACCTTTCATGACAGATTGAACATTTACGTAAAAATAATGTAATATGAAACTTTTTAGTATCATAACATGATTTTTTTTAACAAAAGCAAATTTGATGATGTGATTTATGTAAGTAAATATGTATATAATATATATAAAATATATTCCAGAATAAAGTGTATTGCTGGTAACTTGAAAGGCTAATCTTGCTCTGATGGTATCAAGTGGATATGTAATTGCAGCTGCTGTGACACCTCCGGCAGCTCCGGCTAAGAACCCATCTATATGTGAACCATGTTTGAATAATTTTCCTAAACGCTGACAAAAATTACGCAAACATTATATCAGTTCTTTTAACATTTACAGCTTGGCGAACAAATAGAGATCGATTATACGTGTACAATACAAAATAAATAAATAAGACTTTTTCAGTTATGATAGTCGAACAGATAATTAGGTGAATATTAGTGTATGCATAATGTCAAAATGTGCCAACACAGTATTTTAAACCATTTACCAATAACTATTTAATGAAAAGTCTTATCTATTTGCTCTATATTATATAGGGTAGACCCTTTTAATCAATCCACTGTAATATTTCAGAGTCCTTAAGTTTAAGACAAAAATATATCAGACTAAAGTTGTTTGATATCGAGAGAGTCATCTGATGATTATCTTCATTTGACTTTGGATTAAAGTCCAGAGGGTTATTTCAAGATCAACTTAATTTTTTTTTTAAATAGAACTGCCTATTTTTTATTGTATATTTTTATAATCCTTCTTGAGACTTTTTTAAAACACTATAATAAAGTATTTTTTCAGTAAGTATTTTTCGAGTTATTTTATATCTTAATCTGATATATTTTGATACTAGCTGGCGTTTTTCCTTGCGCGCTCGGTATGTGGTTGCGGATTTGTGAGAATGGTTAAATATGGGTCAATTATGATTCATATCCTGAAAAACTTCTGAGATCTCTAGAAACGTACTGGTGAAGGTTTCATTAAAATCGGTTGTGTAGTTTTTACGTTAAATTAGAATATAGAGCGTGAACGATGTATTTTTTTCCGACTTCACGCACGTTCTTCTTTACTGCTTGGCTCCTAGACGTTGCAATGCGATGATATATAGCCTATGTTACTCAGGAAGATTTAAGTTAGCCATCAGCAAAAGATTTTTTCAAATCGGTTCAGTAGCTGCTGAGATTATCCCGAACAAACAAACAAACTGTATTTCTTTATAATATAGTGTAGATGTAGATAAAAGATAAAATATCTCGTAAAATATTTAGTTTTCGATAATCTTACCGTAATAGTTTGATGCACAGAATAATGAGATGAATCAATTGCTGTAAAAAACACAAATAATTGTTTTAAAAAATACATTATAAATAATTACATATTTTTTCTTAAAAACAATTATTTTCTTTATACCAACTGATTTGTTTCATTATTCTGTATATAAAAGTATTACGGTAAGATTATCGAAAACTAAATATTTTACGAGATATTTTATTTTTTATATCAGAATATGTCAGATTAAGATATAAAATAATTGGAAAAATACTTAATGAAAAAATACTTTGTTATAGTGTTTTGAAAAGGTCTCAAGAAGGGTTATAAGAATATACAATAAAAAATAGGGGGTTTCATTAAAAAAAATAAAGTTGACCTTGAAATAACCCTTTGGATTTTGATCCAAGGTCAAATGAAGATCACCATCAGATGATCCCCTCAATACCAAATAACTTTTGTCTGAAACATTTTTGTCTTCAACTTAAGGGCTCTGAAATATTCTAGTGGATTGATTAAAATAGCCCACCCTCTATACATATCCAATTTCTCTATTTTTCTTGAAATTTTTTCTAAGCTGACTAAAAATTAACGTTTAGTTTAATTAATTAGCAAATATTATTAATACATATCACCAAAGCTTTATACATATGATTGTGATGAAATTGATAAAGTATTTGCCGAAAAGTAGAGAGATCCAGGTTCGATCATTTTCGTTAATATCTTTTGCAATGTCAATTTTTTTTGTCAATACAGGAGGAATTTAAAATATTTAATTATAAACAAAATAATAAAATTATTCATATTTAAAATAACATGATAGGGGAGATTTTAATTCAAGAGCAGGAAAAATTGGATCTAAGCAGTTATTGCAGTGGTTTCAAATATCATATACAAAATCACAATATTTAGTTAGTTAATTGTGGCATGACTGAAAGAATTATGCATTTACTCTGCAATTTGTAGTACGTTTATTGCTCTAAACTTTATTATAAACATTCTCTAAGCAATAAACTTTATCGTTAATTCCCTAATAGAAAGTTTCATTCATTTTAATTAAATTATTTATATTCTACATTTCTCTCTAGCAAATATCTTTATGAAAGTTGTTTACTATGCAAGCATGTTTTTAGAGTTTATTCAGCATAAGTTACAGTCCTAACAATAAATATTATTGTTTAAATATTATTAGATAAAAATTAGTATTTAATATCGAACAATACATTGAATTTGAATAATCTCTAATATTTATTCTCTTCGTTACCTTTTTATACTGTTCAAATGCTGTAAATTGTATTGCTGCATAAGGCACAGCCCTAATCATTTGAACGAGATTGCCTCTATATAAAGCAAGGAAATTTTCATGTTGAACAATTTCCTTTAATCCTGAGAAAACACCTGCAAAGTATGTATGCATATATACATAAATACATACATGTGTGTGTGTGTGTGTGTACATATATATACATATGTTATAAATTCAATCATATTTCACATTGTTAGCATTCACATTATTAGCAAGAATTCAATTTTTTACCTAAATGTTTATAATATTCGTGCTGTGCTTGTAATAAAATTTTTATTCTGTCTAAAGGTGCTACAGTTGTTTTTGAGCACATACCAGCTACACCTATAATACATATAACAATATTTATAATATAAAATTTTATAATTTACACATTTTTATATAAAGGAATACAATTAAAGAGTCCTGAGTTATATTTATCTTATCTCTAAAGATATTTTTTTTTTTTGTAATATGGAATATAAAAAAAGACAATTTTGATATATATTAAAAAAAATCTGTTTCTAAATTTGTGCTTTATAAAATAATTACAAAATGATAATAGAAGATACAAAAACTATTACACAGGATTTTTCTTTACTTTTTTTGTATAAAATTATAAAAATGTTAAAAAAATTTTGTTTTAATTTTTTAGACAAAAATCAAGATCATTTTTTGCATAAAATATTGTTCTTTTATTCTTTCCTAACATAAAGTGAAAAAAATAAAGAGGACAATCTGAAATGGTCTTGAAATAAAATCCAATATTACAAAACTTGGAACTTTTCTAAAGCATTTTCTGTAGCTTTACATTCTATGTATAAAGCTCCACTTATTTCTATCACTTTATTTCTCTTGTCTCAATTTACGAAACGTGTATTGCCAAAATTCCAACTAAAAAATTATGAAGTGAGATATTTTTGAGGAAGTTCAAGTGACTCACCGCCGGCTATAAGATTTTTCACGATGATTTCAAAATTCTTGGCTTTCTTCTCAGATTGGTCCATGATTGCTGAATGATGCTATGTAAATCGGCTTGCAGACATAAATCGCAGATGCAAATCATGTGAGAAAAACACGAGAGATTGCTCGCGATGAAGGGCAACCTGTTCACTCAATCGATGATGATAATCGGGAATGGTCACTGACCATCACAGACCTTGAATGATGTTCCCACCCATATGAAAAAAATGCAGAATTTCCAAGCTATGTCATGGAGTGAAAGGAATAAATATTTTATATCTTATCTTCTTTTTTTTGTCGAATTGCCGTTCTCTATTGCAGGAGTTGCAGTATCATACAGTTTTTTCAATTTTCTATTCTATTCTATTTTTTTTTATTTAATAAAATTTCAATTTCTTGGTGTATATTATATTGATGAATCTTCCTTAATCAGAGAGAAAATATTATGCCACATAATTTTAACTCACAACAGTGAAAAACTTTTTTTGCGAAAATAAATGGCTGATGATTCCACCAAAATCTTTTAATCAGATGTACATACATGGGACTTTCGATTATCGGGCAACAATTCTAATTGGAATTATCGCATTCCCAAGTACTCATAAGTTACACAGAACCGGCAAGTGTTAGGGCTTGAGCAGAATAGCTGACTTGACAATGTTTTATGACTTAAATCTTTGTCTTGAAGTAACGCACAATACTGTACTACAGTCAATCAAGACAAGACTTAAGTCATAAAACATTGTCAAGTCGGCTATTCTGCTCAAGCCCTAATATGCTCAGTCATGTTGTGAACTCCCCTCTTTCACTCTACAGGCTATAGCGCTACAGGATACAGGATACAGGATACAGGATACAGGATACAGGATACAGGATACAGGATACAGGATACAGGATACAGGATACAGGATACAGGATACAGGATACAGGATACAGGATACAGGATACAGGATACAGGATACAGGATACAGGATACAGGATACAGGATACAGGATACAGGATACAGGATACAGGATACAGGATACAGGATACAGGATACAGGATACAGGATACAGGATACAGGATACAGGATACAGGATACAGGATACAGGATACAGGATACAGGATACAGGATACAGGATACAGGATACAGGATACAGGATACAGGATACAGGATACAGGATACAGGATACAGGATACAGGATACAGGATACAGGATACAGGATACAGGATACAGGATACAGGATACAGGATACAGGATACAGGATACAGGATACAGGATACAGGATACAGGATACAGGATACAGGATACAGGATACAGGATACAGGATACAGGATACAGGATACAGGATACAGGATACAGGATACAGGATACAGGATACAGGATACAGGATACAGGATACAGGATACAGGATACAGGATACAGGATACAGGATACAGGATACAGGATACAGGATACAGGATACAGGATACAGGATACAGGATACAGGATACAGGATACAGGATACAGGATACAGGATACAGGATACAGGATACAGGATACAGGATACAGGATACAGGATACAGGATACAGGATACAGGATACAGGATACAGGATACAGGATACAGGATACAGGATACAGGATACAGGATACAGGATACAGGATACAGGATACAGGATACAGGATACAGGATACAGGATACAGGATACAGGATACAGGATACAGGATACAGGATACAGGATACAGGATACAGGATACAGGATACAGGATACAGGATACAGGATACAGGATACAGGATACAGGATACAGGATACAGGATACAGGATACAGGATACAGGATACAGGATACAGGATACAGGATACAGGATACAGGATACAGGATACAGGATACAGGATACAGGATACAGGATACAGGATACAGGATACAGGATACAGGATACAGGATACAGGATACAGGATACAGGATACAGGATACAGGATACAGGATACAGGATACAGGATACAGGATACAGGATACAGGATACAGGATACAGGATACAGGATACAGGATACAGGATACAGGATACAGGATACAGGATACAGGATACAGGATACAGGATACAGGATACAGGATACAGGATACAGGATACAGGATACAGGATACAGGATACAGGATACAGGATACAGGATACAGGATACAGGATACAGGATACAGGATACAGGATACAGGATACAGGATACAGGATACAGGATACAGGATACAGGATACAGGATACAGGATACAGGATACAGGATACAGGATACAGGATACAGGATACAGGATACAGGATACAGGATACAGGATACAGGATACAGGATACAGGATACAGGATACAGGATACAGGATACAGGATACAGGATACAGGATACAGGATACAGGATACAGGATACAGGATACAGGATACAGGATACAGGATACAGGATACAGGATACAGGATACAGGATACAGGATACAGGATACAGGATACAGGATACAGGATACAGGATACAGGATACAGGATACAGGATACAGGATACAGGATACAGGATACAGGATACAGGATACAGGATACAGGATACAGGATACAGGATACAGGATACAGGATACAGGATACAGGATACAGGATACAGGATACAGGATACAGGATACAGGATACAGGATACAGGATACAGGATACAGGATACAGGATACAGGATACAGGATACAGGATACAGGATACAGGATACAGGATACAGGATACAGGATACAGGATACAGGATACAGGATACAGGATACAGGATACAGGATACAGGATACAGGATACAGGATACAGGATACAGGATACAGGATACAGGATACAGGATACAGGATACAGGATACAGGATACAGGATACAGGATACAGGATACAGGATACAGGATACAGGATACAGGATACAGGATACAGGATACAGGATACAGGATACAGGATACAGGATACAGGATACAGGATACAGGATACAGGATACAGGATACAGGATACAGGATACAGGATACAGGATACAGGATACAGGATACAGGATACAGGATACAGGATACAGGATACAGGATACAGGATACAGGATACAGGATACAGGATACAGGATACAGGATACAGGATACAGGATACAGGATACAGGATACAGGATACAGGATACAGGATACAGGATACAGGATACAGGATACAGGATACAGGATACAGGATACAGGATACAGGATACAGGATACAGGATACAGGATACAGGATACAGGATACAGGATACAGGATACAGGATACAGGATACAGGATACAGGATACAGGATACAGGATACAGGATACAGGATACAGGATACAGGATACAGGATACAGGATACAGGATACAGGATACAGGATACAGGATACAGGATACAGGATACAGGATACAGGATACAGGATACAGGATACAGGATACAGGATACAGGATACAGGATACAGGATACAGGATACAGGATACAGGATACAGGATACAGGATACAGGATACAGGATACAGGATACAGGATACAGGATACAGGATACAGGATACAGGATACAGGATACAGGATACAGGATACAGGATACAGGATACAGGATACAGGATACAGGATACAGGATACAGGATACAGGATACAGGATACAGGATACAGGATACAGGATACAGGATACAGGATACAGGATACAGGATACAGGATACAGGATACAGGATACAGGATACAGGATACAGGATACAGGATACAGGATACAGGATACAGGATACAGGATACAGGATACAGGATACAGGATACAGGATACAGGATACAGGATACAGGATACAGGATACAGGATACAGGATACAGGATACAGGATACAGGATACAGGATACAGGATACAGGATACAGGATACAGGATACAGGATACAGGATACAGGATACAGGATACAGGATACAGGATACAGGATACAGGATACAGGATACAGGATACAGGATACAGGATACAGGATACAGGATACAGGATACAGGATACAGGATACAGGATACAGGATACAGGATACAGGATACAGGATACAGGATACAGGATACAGGATACAGGATACAGGATACAGGATACAGGATACAGGATACAGGATACAGGATACAGGATACAGGATACAGGATACAGGATACAGGATACAGGATACAGGATACAGGATACAGGATACAGGATACAGGATACAGGATACAGGATACAGGATACAGGATACAGGATACAGGATACAGGATACAGGATACAGGATACAGGATACAGGATACAGGATACAGGATACAGGATACAGGATACAGGATACAGGATACAGGATACAGGATACAGGATACAGGATACAGGATACAGGATACAGGATACAGGATACAGGATACAGGATACAGGATACAGGATACAGGATACAGGATACAGGATACAGGATACAGGATACAGGATACAGGATACAGGATACAGGATACAGGATACAGGATACAGGATACAGGATACAGGATACAGGATACAGGATACAGGATACAGGATACAGGATACAGGATACAGGATACAGGATACAGGATACAGGATACAGGATACAGGATACAGGATACAGGATACAGGATACAGGATACAGGATACAGGATACAGGATACAGGATACAGGATACAGGATACAGGATACAGGATACAGGATACAGGATACAGGATACAGGATACAGGATACAGGATACAGGATACAGGATACAGGATACAGGATACAGGATACAGGATACAGGATACAGGATACAGGATACAGGATACAGGATACAGGATACAGGATACAGGATACAGGATACAGGATACAGGATACAGGATACAGGATACAGGATACAGGATACAGGATACAGGATACAGGATACAGGATACAGGATACAGGATACAGGATACAGGATACAGGATACAGGATACAGGATACAGGATACAGGATACAGGATACAGGATACAGGATACAGGATACAGGATACAGGATACAGGATACAGGATACAGGATACAGGATACAGGATACAGGATACAGGATACAGGATACAGGATACAGGATACAGGATACAGGATACAGGATACAGGATACAGGATACAGGATACAGGATACAGGATACAGGATACAGGATACAGGATACAGGATACAGGATACAGGATACAGGATACAGGATACAGGATACAGGATACAGGATACAGGATACAGGATACAGGATACAGGATACAGGATACAGGATACAGGATACAGGATACAGGATACAGGATACAGGATACAGGATACAGGATACAGGATACAGGATACAGGATACAGGATACAGGATACAGGATACAGGATACAGGATACAGGATACAGGATACAGGATACAGGATACAGGATACAGGATACAGGATACAGGATACAGGATACAGGATACAGGATACAGGATACAGGATACAGGATACAGGATACAGGATACAGGATACAGGATACAGGATACAGGATACAGGATACAGGATACAGGATACAGGATACAGGATACAGGATACAGGATACAGGATACAGGATACAGGATACAGGATACAGGATACAGGATACAGGATACAGGATACAGGATACAGGATACAGGATACAGGATACAGGATACAGGATACAGGATACAGAATCTTTGTCTTGAAGTAACGCACAATACTGTACTACAGTCAATCAAGACAAGACTTAAGTCATAAAACATTGTCAAGTCGGCTATTCTGCTCAAGCCCTAATATGCTCAGTCATGTTGTGAACTCCCCTCTTTCACTCTACAGGCTATAGCGCTACAGGATACAGGATACAGGATA